CACATGACTTACGCAACACACGCCAGTCGTAATCCCCCTGCACATGACATCAACGTGTGCCCCTATTCATCGGCACGCAACCTTCCATCTCGTGCACGCCTCGCCCGTGCTATTTCCATTCACACGCATATTGTAAGCTCATACTCTCATGACGGTCATTTGCCTAATCCTACTTGCCATGCATCGTCAAGCTTTCCTGTATCCCGCTTCGCCTTAGCATAGTCATTCTACGTTCAGCAAGCGACCTGAACCCGTCTCCAAGCTATCCCACCCACCCACTACCTCATGATTTAAGCATTCAAATCCTGCATCATTCTGTATTACATTTCTACATTATTTCAATAAAGTTAAAGGGGGTTGTCATCGCAGTGCATGCGGGCACCACTTGATTAACACGCTGCCATTCTTCGTGAATAGAGTCAAACATGCGACTCTGTGCACGGAAATGGTATCGCAACGCCGGTCGGGTGGTGACCCCTGCGTTGACTGGCCTCGATCAAGTACCACGCTAATCTCTCTCCGTGATGTGAATCAAATCTGCGACTCACATCACGGAACAGGTTTCGGCGACGACGCTTGACCGTGGCTCACACCCCTTCTGCTCTCAGCCAAGACTTGGTCTCTAGTGTCGTTTCTTAGCATTAAATCACCTTTAACGGCTGGTGGTCTGTTAACAGTTTAAATTCAATATCACATAAGTATAAATTGAATCTCTGCGTTACCTTTGGTATGTTTCTTAGTCTTGCATACTACTGCAAAATGTCCTGTTAGATGACATTTGTTACAGTTCGCAGATCTTGCTGGGCATTCCCTATCCCTGGCGAACTGTCCCTCTTTACCACAACAATAACATTTCTTTTTCACTCTTCCTGGCTTCTTTTGTGACCTTTGACCTTCATGGACTTGGTTGACTTCTCGTTTAAATTCACCTTCCATAGTCTTTAATTGAACATCAACTACTTCTAAGGCCCGTGCTGTATCTTGCACCACTTTTAGGGTTAGGGATTTTCCCTTTTCTAGGAGCTTATGGCGCAACAATGACGACTTGCATTTATCTATAACTTGATCTCTGATTTGTTCATCAGTATCTGTGAACTCACAATTTTGTGCTTGACGTTGCAGTCTTGAAATGAACTGATCTATAGTTTCACCCTCCTCTTGTCTCATTTGACGAAACACATGTCTCTCATATATTGCATTTAGCTGAGTATGAAATACGCGTTCAATGTTCGTAACGCTTTCTCGTAATTACCTGCATCGTCTTGTGTCCTTCAGCAAGTTTCCAGGTCCGGGATCAACAAGTGTCTCAATAAGTCCTGTACATCCATGCCAGC